CGCTCTTCTGCCTCCACCCAAACCGCAACAACTGCTTCTCTGTCGGAGCTCGGTGAGTACGCACTTATCATTTATATAGAGAATATTATCATATTGTGTACATATTTTTTGTTTTGTCCAGGCGACTGTGCATATGCAGTTAGTTTGAAAAAAAAGTCATGTTCCTTGAAAAGCAAAAATGCGATCAATTAATTAAAGATGATGGTCAGTTATGTTAAGAGCTAAGTTAAAAGTGTCTTTGATGTACAGTGTGTTAGAAATAAAGCACATAGGCTACATGTTGGATATTTCCAAATGTTCTTTTGGATTTACTTTGTTGACTAGAAATTTAAGTCGTCAATAGAGAATGTTAATAAACGCCATTTATTACAACAGAGAGGAGAGAAATTACAGGAAATGTGGGAGAGGAAGATGCAACACACCCCTAAGCTACACAGGTGCCCCCTCCTCATGAGGTTTTGATTTTATCTTGATGTCACCTCTTTAGCCTGAGCTAGAAGCAACCAGTCAGTCGCCGGTGTTCCTAATCCAAAAATCTTTGCAGAAACACAAACAAAACTTTACTCTACTGTGAATCTGATTAAAGGGTTGTCATATGCTCAGAATACAGTCTAATAATGTGAACCTGTGAACTTTTCTTTGAGGAAGAAAGAAAAGGCAAAGGCAATTATATAAATCACTGTGTTTTGTGCTCTTCTTCTGTGGTGCGGACAAGCCAGCTAATAATCCCTGTATTGTGAATATTGACTCACTCATATGTTGTTGTTTTTTTGGCCCAGCTGCTCTCTGCGAACTTTTTGCAAGGCAAGGCAAGGTTTTCAACTACAAAGCAATTCAAAGCACTTTATGTACAACATAAAAGCAACATAGTGCAAAATAAATTGAGACACAATGAAAATACAGTAATATAGAAAATAAAATAACAAGATAAAACAGGATAGTAAAAGTTACAGTAAGCAGTGTAAGATATGAAAGAAAAGCCTTAAAAAAACAAAAGTATCTAGCAACTGATTTAAAGAACTGACAATTGTAGCATATATGTTTTTTGTTTTAGATATATGGTTGATAACAACTTGAACGCTGTTTCTCCATGTTTAATTTTGACATTCGGGGCAGTAAACAGACCTGACCCAGACAACCTGAGGGTCTGGATTGGTTCATAAAGCAGCAGAAAATCAGAAATGTATATGGGTCCTGAATCAGTTGCAGCTGTCTGATTGACTTTTTAGAGCTACTTGTACACTGTTACCGTTAAATGCATTAAATGGATAAACATAAGAGGTCCCAGAATGGAGCCTTGGGGAACTCCACAGGTTATTTTTGTCAGCTCTGATATTCTTTATTTTCCATCTCTGCTGCTTATTAACCACCCTGTTTTCTCCATTTCGCTATCTATACAGCAGTCTGTTCATTCCTAACTCTTCTTAATTGTTTTCCTTTCCCTTAGGAATCTGGTGTCAGTTGCCCAGCAGCTTTACCAGCGTGTAATTCGACTGCTGCGCACCACTCTCTGATCCACAGCACTTCCTGTGTTTGAACCAAGAACTCCAGACCAGTCTTGCCACTATGGCCACTGTTGCTGTTGTCAAGCATGGACTCCAGTAGTGCATCGGCAATTAAAAAGAAGAAAAAAAGAGTAAGAGGAATGGTGTCACTCCCCTCTTGGACTGAGAAGTTTCCACTTTGGCCTGTTGTGTTTGCTACTGCAATTCTCTAACTATATTTTAGATGAGAAGGCAAGCAGTATCTGAAAATGTTTATTTTTTCACATTGTGGGTATCTGCTGTGTGAGATGCGAGCGAGGCGTCTTTTAACTGCATTTTGTGGGTTTACTGCGAGTTTGGCCGTTCTGCTGTTTAATGTAACAACAGAATAATGAAGCTTAATTTGAATCTTATTTTCTTCATAAACAAGCACCACAGAGCTGTCCCTGAGCAAGGCAGAGGGTTTTCATGAGGGCTGCATTATAGTGGGCAGTAGAGAGACGTTCAGAGTGAAGTTTGAAACAAACATGTTAGAGATCTTGACAGTTTCAAAACCTACCTAAACTCAACCTAAGACCTAACAGTGGGCCCTCCCATGCCCAGTCAGACTGAATATTTATTATACCTGGCTTGGTTCCTAGGAACCAAGAGGACTTGTAAAGCCCTCGACTCCACTTAAGTACACATGTGCCACGTCAGCACTACTTCTATTTTGCAAATTTGTGGTACAGTTGGACATAACTCAACATGTGTCTTACTTCCCTGTGGAGAAAAAAAAAAGAGTTCAACATTATTATTACAGCAAGAAACAAATTCCATGACAGGAAAAGCGGAACCATAAGAATCAGACAAGTATAATACCTTTCACTATTATTGGATTAGTTATGCTACAGCTCACCGTTGAATTGCAATTAGAATTTCAGGTGACATTTCTGAAGGCAACACTGCATCACAGTGCAGCAGGGCATCCTCAGTTGTGTTCATATGTGGGCTATGTTTTGGGCTTAAAAGTTGTGGGTTGCCAAAACAGGAACAAGCTGCAGCAGAAAAAGATGAAAATTAACTTTTGACAGTGCAGCAGAAATGCGTACATCAGAGAGGTAGTAATGCAAAGGGACTGGTGTGGAGACCTCGATCAGGGTAGCTTATAAATGATGTGCTTCATATGGAGTGCTGTGTAGCTACCTGTGTAATAAGTCCTCACATAGTAAAGGACAACCTAGGTCAATGCATGTGAGCAGATCAGGGAAGTTTAGGGAAATTAAACTACTTTAAGAGTTGGTTGGCCAGAAAAAGGCTTACTTACTTATAGTGGAAGAGTGCATACTGTTGTTTTGGTTTTATTTATGCAGGTCTTGAGGTGTCTTGAGATTTGTGCCTCTGCGCCAATACAATGGAGGCAAATGAAATTTAGTTTGTGTTGCTCACATCCATGAGTCTCTCCAAACACGTATCCCTGTTACTCTGGATAGGTAAGCCTAGTTTTTTAGTAATTTGAACAAAACAATGTTGACGTTTTATCTTGTTTTGGTAAAGACAGTTTCACATCTTTTGAGTTGGAGTCAGAAAAGATAGGCGGTGCAGGAAAAATCAACACATTTTAAAGGAATAAAAAGCTGTTGGTCTGGATTATAATCTTTGAGTCCTTAGTTATGTGATTAAGATATAATATTATCTGCTGCCTATGAAAGTATGTACTTTTAAAGATTGGTATCAGTGTGGCTGCCAGATGCCAAGTCTGTGGTGACAGCTTTTTCACAATTAAGCCACTCCAACCAGGAGGTTATGGTTAAAAAACAACAACAACAAGGTGTTCTTAGTCAAGATGTTTGCTTGAATAAATGAAATTTAGAAAACTCCTGTGGCTGTTGAACGGTGGTGAAGAGGCACTCAGTTATGGCAGTTGTCTATTGAGGTGATATGATTGATGACTTTAACTATTTCTCACTGCAGGCAGTCCCTAAACAGTGTGTAAGGACATACAAGCAGGCGTGTCTGGATACTTTCAGTTCCTTCACATCATTTATTTACATTTAATGTGGGCAGACCCACTCCAATATTTACTCCAATAAAACAAAATCAATTTTCTTAAAAAGCCTGTGTCATTTTTCATGTATACACAAATCTATCTATCTATCCATCCATCTATTAGTCCCTCCAGGCCTTTATACTGATTGTTGCGGCCTAAAATGTGGCAGTTTTTCTAAAAAATGGCGACGAAAGTTGCAATATTTTGTGGAGTAGTGATGAAATTGCGGGAATAAGTGAAAACTGCAAAGGTAGATTAGATTTTTTTAACTTTAGAATTATAGCTGAATCATTAAACAGTCACTAACCCTGCATATTCAAACCAGCTTACGTTGATTCTTTCAGCATTTGCAGCTGAACGAGATGCAGCAGCCTGCGTCACAGTGATTTGTCTCATCTGACGTCATCCATGCCTTTCTGCCACTCTCCGAGTATGTTTTGTGGCGGCAAATTGTTTGTCAATAAACAATTTCCTATTATATTTGACCACAATACTGCACGTTTTGGCAAAACACTTTACCCCTGCTTTGGTAAAGAAGATCCAGATACTGTTTTTCACCGTTTATTGTTGTCTGCATCACACATGTCTGCTGCTTCTTATAAACAAGAAGTGACAAGCTGACGTATGACAAACGGCTATGATAGGTCAAAATTGGAAACGTTGCGGTGATTGGTCAAAATTTGTTGAGTTTGTGTTAATAGTTGCGATCGCATCATTGCAAAATCCTGGAGGGACTGATCTATCTATCTGAGAGTAATAAAACCAGGTATTGGGGTCACATTAATTTAGGGTTCCTGCTCATATGGGTAATAAGAGTTTGGACAAACTAGCCAAACAAGCTGTTAAAAAAAGCAGATGTCTGCATTTAAACTTTCAAAAGAAGACGATAAAGGACACTGTGCTGTATGGGAGAAAATCGTGAAAAGAGTGGCAGCAGCACTGAGATCCGGAGATAGGGGGGAAAACATTTGCATTCAACTCAAAATAGATTTTGAGAAAAAACAACAAGATTTAGAATAGGACAAAGAGATTGAAACAATTCACATTGCAGGGAAGCATTCAACCGCCACTGTGAACAGTTGTTAGGTACCAAAATGTGCTTGTGAGTTGCAGGAAGTACATTATTATATATTAGAGAAAAGACATGGTGGAAGTAAAGTAACTTAGTTGGGCAGGAGCAGGATTAAAGGAGAACATACTGGAGTGTGGTGGAACAATGGGACAAACCGGACACTGTAGGAGTTATCTAGCTCCAGAAGATGGCAGTAATGCAACACTAAGTATGAAAAGAAGAAGAAGAAGAAGCTCATTTCTGGTGTAGCTGTTTGACATTAGCTGAAATGGGAAGCTAACAGCCGGGGGAGAAGTTTTCTGCTTGCACTTTATTAAAAGTCAGGAGACGTTGATGCGCTAAGAAATGGGAAACAAAGTCTAAGAAAAAGTCTCAGATTTTTATCGACAACACAGGTACGTGACATTTCGGTTGAATGTAACGGTAACTACTTGCTAACTGTTAAACCTCGCTAGCAAGCGGGCTAGTAATTTCTACAAGTGTTATAAGCTGACTAGCCGTTAGCTTAGCAGGCAGGAGCCATCTGTTACAAGGCAACCCGTCAGAAACAGTTGGGGCGGCCATCTCTGTAATTAAGACTAAAAACAAAAAAAGGTCGATTTTTAGTTATTAAAACTGTACATCTTAACTAAAAGGAGGATTTATATTTTGTTAATTAAGCAGTGCTTCTGTTACCGATAATAAAATAACTTCGTTTTATTCTCGTGACACGGTTGTTGTCAACGAACTGACTGTACCTCATAGTTTGCCCTTCCCGGCACAGCGGCCAATCAAAGCCCTTAACATTGTGATTGACTGATCTCGCAGCCAATAGCAACCCTTCAACAAATATGATGGCTCTGTCCGCGGTGTTCGGCGGAGCGGCGTCTCTTTCCGGCGCAGTATGCTGGGATGCTGATGCTGAGGAGCCTCCTTAAACTGTAGCATCGTTAGAGCTCAATGTTTATCGATATGTTGTATTGCCTGAGGTTGCCGCACTGTGTTGACCTTTGTGTGTGCGGCCTGCTGTTGTTTCTTTTAGCGGGGCTGCAGCAGGTGGAAGCAGCAGCCGCCGCCGCCGCGGAGATGGTCAGTCTGAACTGGAAGCCGTTCATCTACGGAGGGATGGCCTCGATTGTCGCAGAATTCGGTAGGCTACGTGATGCACCACAACACGCAGACACTTAACCGTCGTGCACATTGTTGGGTTTATGCGCCCGAGTACCATGGTAGTACATAATCAATGCAAAAAAAGTGTTTTGAGGCGAAGTAAAATTCTGCATCTGCCGAGTTGATGGTGGATGAGCTTTAGAAACGAAACGCGAACGATGCATGTAGCTGAATAAATTTAAAAGCTCTTTGGTGCACATTACATGCATTGTCCTGCAACCTACATTATTCTCAAAGTTAGAATGAAGTTGTTTGCACACTTGCACATTGATCAAAAACATTTTTGGGGGTCTTCTGCTGCAGCTGCATGATTTTAAAAAATAAATATATATATATATATATATATATATATATATATAAATATATAATATATAAATATATATATATATATATATATATATATATATATATATATATATATATATATATATATATATATAAAACCCATAGTTACACTCTTCCCTAATTAAGGACAAAATGTAAAAGTTTTACTAGTTATTTTTGTATATATTGATGCTACTTTCTACTATGCTGTTGATTTTTTTCTTGTGTTGTTCAAAACAAAAAAAGGAAATATGCCATTTCCGATACCTGCATAGAAGTTGTAAGTTGGGAAACTTGGCAGTATGAGGTTTATATCAATACTCTGGGAGAGTTTCTGTTATGATAGAAATTTACAAGCCCCAGTATACATGCAAAATGTCCTCTATAACTCCACTACCTTTTTTTCAGTTAATCATTCCCCTTTTTGTTTAACCCTCAGGGACATTTCCCATTGACCTGACAAAGACCCGGCTACAGGTTCAGGGTCAGTCTCAGTACACTGAAGTGCGCTACAGAGGCATGTTCCACGCGCTCTTTAGGATCGGCAAGGAGGAGGGCGTCCGGGCGCTCTACTCTGGGTATGGAACGTGCTTTTTTTAAGCTCTGCACAAATAACATAACATCATATGTATACACAAGGTTTGTTCACTGATTTGTGTTCTAGTTCAGAGCATGGTAGACAGATACGGTTGAGTGCCATATTACAAAATCTCAGAGTATTATACAATAACTTTTATCTCAGTGGGGAGATGATATTGACCCTGTTGCCTTGAATGATGCTCAACTTTAATGTTGTACAGGTTAAGTCCCAGCATGCTTCTTTGATCATTCACAATACTTACAGGAGGAAACCACTCAATCATAATCACAAAAATAAGTGTAACTGATATTTGTGTTGATTCATCATTGTTCTCTATCAATTTAACACTAAATGAAGATGAATTGCTTGTTTTGTTTTTTGTTATGTCTACATAAATTAGATTGTCACTGACATGGTGTTATAAATGACGCTGACAACAGAGAAGTAGGCTTACATCCTTTAAGGTTGTTCAGTTGGTGTGCATGTTTGATGGGAATTAAGTTCACAGGCTGTGATATAGCTTAATTGTGTAATGAGGTTAAGTTGTTCAGTTAGCACAGCATGAATCAATCCTGCGCGATCTGTAACACTTTATCAGAGGCCTTTCTACCTCCTCTCCCCAGGTCACATGTGGAGCTTTTATTTTTATCTAACCTTTATTTAGAGCTGGTTAAAAACAAATTCTCATTCACAACTCTAGCCTGGCAAGTGGAAGACATCCTATTGAGGGGAGGTATGAAACATAAGGTAAACGGGGACAATCAGATTAATGAGACATGAAAAGAAAAAACACCACCCGACTGAACCTGCAGGGCAACACAACGATACAGGAAGCCCAACAAAACATATATTTTGCAACAGAAAACAAGGCTTTAGTAAGGGATAATATGCGTTAGATTAAGATTCCATCACAACTTAAATTCTTGAAAAACATCTAAAGAATTTCCTCTGAATTTCAGCAATAATTTCCAAGAAGTGTGAATACAGTCCCAGAAGTCTTGATGTTCCCAGGATGAAAAGCTTTCAGCTAAGCTGAATGTGCTGTTAAAGAAAATCTAGTTACTTCTTCTTGCTGCACACTTGTGATATGCTCCATGCTGCTGATAGAAACATGTGCTCAAAATAATATGCAGTAAAAGGCTTTTCTCACAGAGCTGAAGCACGTTGTGGGTGTTATGTGATGTTGCTGAATTCAACAACAGATTTCAAAGAAGCCCCGTGGGACAGGAAATGTGTTCCACTTTGAATCTGGTTAAGAAGGAGCTTCTTTTTGACTTTTAAAGCCGTGGGCATGACTCAAGTGTGTGTTTCTACAGTTGTTAAGATTCATCTCCGCTTTTGAGTAACCGGATTTCACACTCCTCCATAAGACTGACATTTTGTCACACAAACATAATAAGTTGAAGGAAGTAATAGATAAGCATTCACTCATCTTCTGCACCTGCCTTCAGTTTAACTGTAAAGGTTAAAAAAAACTTATTTTACCTCTCTCCTCTTAGGATTTCTCCCGCTCTGTTGAGACAAGCTTCTTATGGGACAATCAAGATAGGAACCTACAACTCTCTGAAGAGGCTGTTTGTGACTCATCCAGAAGGTGAGTTTTAACTATTTCTACCCTCGAACATCTTGTCTTCTACCTTTCTGCTAACCTCTTTTGATAAACTCTTTCATCATAAAGCTCTAAAAGGAAAGCCTTTCTGAGGGGAAGGAAACTAAACCTTTTAATTCACAGGCTTTAGTTAGTTAGCTTCACAGATGTCGCCTGGAACCGTGAGAGCATTTTCGAGTTCAGGATATTAATCTGGAAAAACAGCTGGCCAAACAAAGAACAGTTGAGGTGGATTGAATAAAACTGGCAGCGAGCAACACTGTCTATTAAATTTAGATTCATTTTTGCATTACGTCTCTGACTTGTTACAGTCTGATGCAATCTTTTGGAAACTACGATTGCTCTATAAGCGTTGAGGACTGTTGAAGTAGACAAAACAACTATGATAGGCTGAGTATATCATCCAGCAGCAACAGCCAAGGGTTGGGCATTAGTGGCACCAAAGTCATTTTCTAACATTTACATGTTGGCCAGTTATCTGATGTGATTTTCCAGAGTAGGGCTGGGCGATATGGCTCAGATTTTTAGACTGTGCCACGATATATTATACATATCTTGATATTAGGGCTGAAACGATTTATCGAGTAATTCGATTACTACAATTCATCGACACAAATTCTTTGCATTGATGCTTCGTTTAATCCATAAAACTGTGTAGCGCACTGTTGCGCACGGACAATTATTACTGTCCCACATTGAGCTTACGCTGTGATTAAGTGAACACAACGTGATTTGATGGCGCTTTTTGCAAAGTGGAGGAAGAGAGAGAAAATAGCGAGGGGCGAAGAAGAGACTGGCCAGAAAAAAAACTCAGAAAGTGTCCAAAGTATGGGATTATTTCAAGCTAAAAGAAACTGTAGCACTGTAAAAACTAAACTTACGTAGCCTACTGCAACAGCACGACGGAGAAATGCTTCAGCATCTGATCAGAAAGCACCCGGTCTAGCATCAAGTCCACGGAGAGGACCCATTTACAGGAACTTTGACATTTAACTTAAATCACGATTGATTATTGAGTTGAAGGCTAGCAAAAGTAAGCCCCACTTCTCAGCTGTAAATGTATTCACGTGCGTTTGTTGTTGTTCTTCGCCTGGTTGGGCTGTGAGTCACAGTCATGAGTCACACTGCTGATCTTGATACGGGCGGCGCCAAGCAAAAGTACTTCTAATTATATGACAACGATGAATCGATGAAATAATCTGTAGAATACTTAATTACTAAAATCATCGTTAACTGCAGCCCTATTTGGTATACACACGCTGATGTACGTTAGGTCTGTGAGTGTGAAGAGAACTAATTCGATATGTGAGTGATACCTAAGATGGAGAATGAAGTGTAATTAAAACAGTGAAATAAGAAACAAGCTAAGTTTATAATGTAAAATAAACCCCTGCATCTTTTCAATACCAGTATCTGTGTGACCCACAATCCTCTCCGAGTTGGTCGGCCAAGTTAACAGCACCACCTCAATTTCTGGCTGGTCTCGCTGTAACGTTATTCTTTATGGTTGCAGCCGTCAGCTCTGGGTGAAAACGGCTAACATGGTTTGTGTCCACACCTCTAAAAAATATGGTAAAATTGTTTTCACTCCCTTCAGTAGCCAGAAGTGCAGTGAAGCTTCTTTTGTTGCACCCTTGACGCCTCTATGGTGCCCTGAAAGTTGCAGAAACAGTCCTCACAGGTTTTTCTGCATTTACTTGACAAACGTGACAAGCTGCCAAAAAGGTAGTGATGAATGAAATCCAAATGGGACCTGTAATAGAAGTGCAAAATAAAGTGTATTTAATAAACGCATCATAGCATGGGTTCGACATTTAGATATTTGTATAAATTTGAGAATGTCGATTACAATTTGACCTACAAACTTTATTTTGTGTGTTTCTATCTTAAGAAGTTTAAGACATTTAATCTTATTTTGACAATATTTGACATATCAAAGCTTATTTTAGTCTTGAGGACAACTCAACTGAATTTCAAAGGGATACACTTACTAGTATTACATTTTAGGGCTAAAAATTAATGAAAGGAACATTTAAAGTTGACTTTATTGTTTGTAAAATGTTTAAACATGGTTATTTAATCACTTTGACTTAGCTTATCTTCTGTTAGAATAATCTTTTGTTAGGTGAGTCAAAACATTTATTTCTAAACTGCTTTAAATTACCTTCTTCTAAGTCTCAAAAAAATTTTCCTTCTGTTTGGACTTGCGGGCCTTCCCTCCTCTTTTGTTTATGCTGGGACACTTTGCATGCGTCTTGGGTGTTTCAGTGGCATCTGTTTTACATTACAAACTTGGATGGAAGGGAGTTAATGATCCATCCATCCATCGTCAACTGCTTATCCTGCGTACAGGGTCGTGGGAGAGTTAATGATATTCTTTTCATTTGTTGTAAAATGACTTCAAGTATGAGGTGGTCAACAAAGATTTCCACTTGGGAATCAATAAAGCGTAATCACATTAGCTTATTTCACTTTAGTTTGTCTTTGAACCATCAGAATTGTTGTAAATAATGTGTCATCAGTGCACAACCCCGGGTGATATTGGTGCAGTGACACTAGTCTTTCACAACATCTGTTAAACCGAATAGGTTTTGTTTGCACAGCAACAATACTGTATGGATGTAGCCCTCCCCCTGCAAAATAAAGGGCTGGATGTGTCGTGACAACCTGTGTTGACCCTCCTGCAAACTGTGTGTTAACCTGCCGGCACTAATTTGCAAGCTAAATATGTGGGGATGATGGAAGGGAAGAAGACAGAAAGAGAGAGGAGAGGGGAGGGAGAGCGAGTCGGTCCACATATACACTATAGCTCCTATCTGACATAGATCTTAGATTTTGGATTAGATCTTAGAAGTAAACAAATCCTCAATACAAAGAGCTGACATGATTTGCTATTTAGGGAGGCGCCTCAAATCAATCAAGACTTGTCAGCTTGAGAGGTGGAAGGAAACCAACTTGATTTATTCGGAGAGCATACATTTGGATTTTTGTAACTTTGCTCAGACAAAACAAGATATTTGAAGATGCAGCCCTGAACAGAAAATAATCTACAGATTATACGACAGTGAAAATAATTGGTTTGTTCCAGACCTGAATTAGAGCGGTTAGTTGTAGACCATTACCATGTGATGATTTGTGTCCATGAAGAAGAATGTTTGAAGAGTTGTTAACTGCTGTTCAGTAAGTTCATGCACCATAGGGCCAAAACAACGGTCACAGGGAAACCTACACCATATTCGGGGGGGAAAAGAAACTAAAATAAATCCTAGATCCATAAAAGTGGATCAGTTTTTGTTGTTGGGAGCGCTGACGTTCATTTCAGCCTCCGTGTAGAAAAACACAGGGAGCCGCTTCAGTTACCAGACGAATGGGTTTGCGCTACATTTATCAGCGATTTGCTGGCGCCAGCATGTTTCTGAGACTCACAGGAAGTTTGCGACCACAGGCTCTGTCTCCTCTCTCCGTCTGCCTTTTTATTTGCCATTCGTCTTTTCCCATTGACTGGTTCCTTCTTTATCTGGCTAATCCTTTCACTAACTCTATTCCAAGTCCCCGTACATCTTTTCTTTGTTCTCTTTCTTCCACTTTGTTTTTCTCTCCCTCTGCTTCTCCTAAATATTTAATGGCCAATTAGTGTTGTAAGATAATATTAATAATAAATCTAGGTATGAGAACAGAACGGAGTGATTGAAGCTAATGAAGTGGGTTTTGTAGTTTGTCATTCATTTGTGAGGAAAAGGTAAACATTTTGGAAAAAAAGTTTATTTGCTTGACATGAGAAGATTAATACAAATCTCATGTCTGTGCATTAACTGTCACAACGTGCTGAGGCTATCTTAGCATAAAGACTGGAGCCAGGGATGAATTTTTGTTTCTAAGGCTTCACCTTCGCAATGTACAAAGTGCTCTTTTTTGTTTGTTTGTTTGTTGTTTTGCCTTTCCAATCTGAATGCCTTCTGCCACACTGGTGCCACTGTGTTTTGAATGCTTGTTTTGATACAGGCTTGGGTTTGCCATGTGGTTGTGGGGAGATCGAACGCCCCATTCCCTTTTCCAAAAAATGAACGGTGCGAGGACCGCCACACTAACTGTTGGTTAGATTGATCAAAGATCACTGTAACTATTGTTCTAAACTCAACCCATTGTTATTTTGTCTCCCCTTCCTCCTTCTTCTCACTCCAATGTAGACTAATCAGATAAACCGCTTGCTAACACTGACAAACTCTTCTGAGGCTTATTTCTAACAAGGTTGCGGTTTATTTAAAGCCAACCTAGATAGTGTGGAGTTTCTCCAACCATGGGCACTTGGTTATGTTTTAAAATAGAGGAGCAACCTTACAACGATAATTGGCGGTGGGTCTGGGGGTCCTCCCCCAGAAACAAAATGTAATATTAAACAAATATAGGCCTTTTGCACCGCTTTGACAGTCCATCACGTGTAGCTTTGTGGTAAAAAGCTTACGTTGATGTACCCATGTGGTGTTTTCTAAGTAGATTATAGCAAATATTAACACTATGCAGATAACCTGAATTAGATGAATGAATGATGAATGAATGATTTCTAATTATGGCTGGGTGATATCGCCAAAAATGTTATCACGATAAAAACATTTAATATCATTTGATATCGATAATTATCACGATAAATGTCAAATCATTATTTCTTTCAAATTTAAAGGCTGATTTTTGCCCCTGAATCAAAATTGAAGGGCCAGATGGGTTAATTGTATGGTTAAGAAAATAAACATCTCAATAGAAAAATTAAGTGCTAATTCGTTCGTGATTCTAATGAATTAAATCAAATATTTATTGTTGATATATTGAACATTTGTTATATTGGTATTGAGGAAAATTACATTGTGATAATTATCATTATTGTTTTATTGCCCAGACTTTTTTTCTAATATTTTTTTCCAAAACTCTGTCTGTGACTTAAACACTAATAACTCTAAGTAGTACAATAATCCCTGAAAATAACTTCTTGCCTGTCATTTCTGACTTTCTCGTAGTAACTTATGTTCAGAGTTCATAGAATGTGCAGCTTTGCTAGAAACAAAACAGGATGTAAAAAGAAATTGTTGTGAAACTGCACTCTTAAAGTGTAATTTTCAACACACGCATAATATGTGTCTTGTTTGGATCATAGCAGTTTTCTTTGTTTGTTCTAAATAATAAAATCCAAAAAGAGACGTACCTGCCACGACACAACATTTGATAAGTGAACCAAAAAGCAGTGGACGAAGTATTCAGATCCTTTAAGTAACAGCACTAATGCCACACTGTAAAAGTACTCTGTTACCATCAAAAGTTCTGCTATGAAAATGTTACTTAAGTAAAAGTAAATATACTAAGTAAAAAGTACTGAATGCAGAAAAATGTCCTGTGTGACTGTTATACTATTATATATTATATCATTAGATTAATAATCGTCATGCATGTAAAGCAGGATTTTACTGCTGTAGTTGGTTGAGGTTGAATTCATTTTGAACTATTGTATCAAACTGCAACTAATAATTATTTTCATTATAAATTAATCAGCTGATTAATTTCTCCATTATTTGATTGAAAATATTACCTGTAGTCCACGGTGACACCTTCATAGTGCTTGTTTGTCCAACCAACAGACCAAACCTCAGTAACATTCAAATGATCAAAGTAATTAATTTGTGAAGCTAAAACCATGAAATGTTTTTGCATGGAAAAATTACTTACAAAATAAAAAATAGTTTGCAATTAATTTTCTGTCAACAGACTAATCATTTCAGCTTTACTGGTAAAAACCGTTGGGTAGTTTCATTTATAAAAAAACATCATCTCTATAAACTCTTAACATGTTTTGAGTGTAAAAAGCTTAATTTGTAAAGTAACTACTGAAACTGTTAGATAACTGTAGTGAAGTAAAAAAGTACAATATCTCCCTTTAGAGCTGTGGTGTAGTAGAAGTAGAAAGTGGCATGAAAAGAAAATACTTAAGTAAAGTGCAGATACCTCAAATCTGAGACAAAGACAAATTTAAAATCAGATGATTAAAACATATAAGATGATTTTTAAAGGGTTGTTTGTTAAATGTGTTGGATATGTAAGTCTGAACTTGCTCATTTTCTCATTACTTATTCATTTTATTAATTTATTTGACAGACAATGCAAATTGCATAACAGGAAACGAGCTATGAAAGTAACTGAGCTGGAGTTATCCTATAAGGCTAATTTATATCTGACAATTATGATACTAAAGCAGCTCTTTAGTGTACGAAAAGTCCAGGTCTATGAAATTTAAATGGGGGGGGATACTCAAATGAAGTCAGCCAGTAGTTCCTTTTTCTTTGTAAAAAGATTTCACCACATAATAAAGCAGCCAATAAAATAGTTTTACCAGGACTGTTGTCTCGTGTGTTGTGCTGAATAATCACACAAATATTTTTTCCCAAACAAGATCAACTAGTGTCTTGAAAATTACACAATATCTAAGTGAAGAGCATGCATGCTATCGATGGAAATAAAATATAATCACCGTAGACATCTATACATAGCATATTACAGCCAAATCATTGTGTTTGGTTGCTTTTGGCTGGGTGTGTTAATTGATATAATTTCTTGTCTTATTCCTGACAGACGAGACCATGGTCATCAACGTCTTCTGTGGTGTCGTGTCTGGAGTCCTCTCCTCCTCTCTGGCCAACCCCACTGATGTCCTCAAGGTGATTTTTAATGCTGGTTACAACTTAGTTAAGTAGTTTTGGCATCTATTGTGATAATTAAAAAATCTTGCCAAACATTTGCTGGTTTCATGCTCCTTAAAAGTAAATGTTTTTCTTTGTTAAACACACACTTTTTTCCAGACAAAACATGACATTTGAAGACGTCATCTTGGGTAATTACACAGGGTATTTTTCACTATTTTCTTAGTTTTACAGAAAAAACGATTAATCAAATTGATTGGAAAATAATTGGAAGGTTTATCGATACTAAAAATAATAATTATTTTTTTGCCAAGAATAATAATTAAACTTGGGGCTCGGCGAGTAATCAAATTTTATTTTCAATTACAATTTGGGTTTCCAACGGTCATGAAATCAAGGTAATGGAGATAAAATGATTAGTGTGCTGCATGCCTTTTTGCAATGATGCTCTCGTGTAGGCTTGTGTTATAAATAAAGCCCACCCCTTTTTCTTTTACAGCAGTCTCTAAAAGTCCAAATTCACTCTCAGCCAGGCTGCAGCATGTTTAGTTCGGCTCGAGCCAAGATGGCCGCGGTTATAACTGGCACAGCTTGCTAGTCACCATCATTGGCTTTTCCCATTAAAACCCGATGTAACGTTTTCGTTCTTCTACCTTTAAGACCAAATGTGACATATGCACGTTTTAGTATATATAATCGTTTTCAAGACAGATGACTGATAAAATGCATCGCGATCAACTGAAATACCAGTGGGGTAGCTGAAATGCCTTATGGGATTTATAAATTAAAAATTTTCTTTGTTTGATTTTACAAAAAAAAAAAAAGGAACATGTGAATGAACACAATGCGAAGACAATCATTTACAATAAAAGCCAAACGTGTAAACCCTCAGGATTTACGAGGTTGTTTTCAAACAATGCCTTAGGTTTTACAATGCTTTTGTGAAGGTGCCATAGGTCTTCATGGGCAGGGCTTAAAGTTCTCCGGCGCTGTGCCGGTATTCCGGCGCGAGGCGTTTTTTTTTATTCTACAATATATACCCTAAATATGTCTGTGGAAAATATTCTCGTATATTTTTTAACTGTGTGACGTGCCAGTCTTCCTCTGCACAATTGGTGGCTTGGTGTCGGTGTATACCGAAAGAAAGTGGTCTGGCACTTCCTGGCTACGTGGACACTCATTGGCTATTGTAGGCCGTTAACAGGGCATGGAAGTTTCTATTGGGTCAATTAAGGTGTCACTCAAAAAGTCAACATACAGCTGAGACGGCTGCAAATAAGTATTTGAAACCTGAGAAAATCAATGTTAATATTTGGTACAGTAGCCTTTGTTTGCAATTACAGAGGTCAAACGTTTCCTGTAGTTTTTCACCAGGTTTGCTGCAGGAGGGATTTTGGCCCACTCCTCCACACAGATCTTGTCTAGATCAGTCAGGTTTCTGGGCTGTCGCTGAGAAACACGGAGTTTGAGCTCCCTCCAAAGATTCTCTATTGGGTTTAGGTCTGGAGACTGGCTAGGCCACGCCAGAACCTTGATATGCTTCTTACAGAGCCACTCCTTGGTTATCCTGGCTGTGTGCTTCGGGTCACTGTCATGTTGGAAGACCCGGCCTCGACCCATCTTCAATGCTCTAACTGAGGGAAGGAGGTTGTTCCCCAAAATCTCGCAATACATGGCCCCGGTCATCCTCTCCTTAATACAGTGCAGTCGCCCTGTCCCATGTGCAGAAAAACACCCCCAAAGCATGATGCTACCACCCCCATGCTTCACAGTAGGGATGGTGTTCTTGGGATGGTACTCATCATTCTTCTTCCTCCAAACACGGTTAGTGGAATTATGACCAAAAAGTTCTATTTTGGTCTCATCTGACCACATGACTTTCTCCCATGACTCCTCTGGATCATCCAAATGGTCATTGGCAAACTGAAGACGGGCCTTGACATGTGCTGGTTTAAGCAGGGGAACTTCCGTGCCATGCGTGATTTCAAACCATGACGTCTTAGTGTATTACCAACAGTAACCTTGGAAACGGTGGTCCCAGCTCTTTTCAGGTCATTGACCAGCTCCTCCCGTGTAGTTCTGGGCTGATTTCTCACCTTTCTTAGGATCACTGAGACCCCACGAGGTGAGATCTTGCATGGAGCCCCAGTCCGAGGGAGACTGACAGTCATGTTTAGCTTCTTCCATTTTCTAATGATTGCTCCAACAGTGGACCTTTTTTCACCAAGCTGCTTGGCAATTTCCCCGTAGCCCTTTCCAGCCTTGTGGAGGTGTACAATTTTGTCTCTAGTGTCTTTGGACAGCTCTTTGGTCTTGGCCATGTTAGTAGTTGGATTCTTACTGATTGTATGGGGTGGACAGGTGTCTTTGTGCAGCTAACGACCTCAAACAGGTGCATCTAATTTAGGATAATAAATGGAGTGGAGGTGGACATTTTGAAGGCAGACTAACAGGTCTTTGAGAGTCAGAATTCTAGCTGATAGACAGGTGTTCAAATACTTATTTGCAGCTGTATCATACAAATAAATAATCTGGATTTTTATTTTTTAGATTATGTCTCTCACAGTGGACATGCACCTACGATGACAATTTCAGACCCCTCCATGATTTCTAAGTGGGAGAACTTGCAAAATAGCAGGGTGTTCAAATACTTATTTTCCTCACTCTATATAATCTATCCATCCATCTTCATCCGCTTATCCGGGGTCGGGTCGCGGGGTCAGCAGCTCTAGCAGGGGACACCAAACTTCTCTCCCGATCCACATTAACCAGCTCTGACTGGGGGATCCCGAAGCGTTCCCTGGCCTGTGTGGAGATATAATCTCACACTGGTCAGAAAATGTTACCAGAATGCAGGAAATTAACTGTTTAATGGTCTAAATCTCCTGGGGGAGGACCCCCCCCCCCCTTATATTTCCACATTGAACGTTTTATCAAACCAGTGTACAATTATCATTTTGTTTTTTTCTTGTGAACCCAGAATTGTGTTTCTTCATGTTTTGTGAGCTGAGTGTATGTCAGAACCCTAATCTGAGTCCCTACGTCCCCGTCAGTTTTCAACACAAAGTTACAGTCTTGCCCCCTACCCTCCATCTTTTGTAAACCCCAAACACATTTCAGGTACAGAAAAATTGCTTGCTTTAAGCCCTGCATGGGTTAAACCTACAGCATTTTACACTGCATACATTAGACTAGCATACTTTTTTCTACTCATAGCTTAAAGGATTATAATTATTATTATTTTTTTAAACCTGGGCTCCATTTTCACGTTTTGTGTCGAAATGACTAGTAGGTACTAAAATGTTTTGGAATCTGTGCAGTAGAGTGCTTCTGCCACCAGCTGCACTGGCTACACTGGCTGCAACAATTTCCTTCGGGGGAATTGCGGCTGTCAAAATGTCAACAAAAAGTTCTTCTTTTTACAGCTGAGGCTCAGACTCTTATGCCAGGTGTCATAGAAAGGATCCCTATCTCGCTCAAGGACTATTCTCTCTCCAACTGACTCACGTTTTAGAGAGAGAATTGTGTGTCTTCAGTTCCCAGGTGTCACCAGGAGTCACTCGTAGGGTGGGTCAAGTGCACTGCACCTCCCAACAGAACACCATGGTTGAATTTCACCATTATGTAATGTTGTTGTCAGCTAAGTGGTTCACCTGTCACCTGCCAAGCCCATCAGATGGAGCCTCCTCGCCGGCCCACTGCCGTCAGCCTGGGGAAACGCTGCCTTGCTGTCACCCTCTTGCGCTCTAAGATGATGTTTTAAGGAGACCTATTATACTGCTTTTCCAGTCGTATATTGTAGTACTGTGACTCCTGTGTGGCAGCTTTGCATTATTCAAAGTTTCCTATCTTATACTGACTCATGTAGGCCTTCATTTCAGCCTCTGTCTGAAACAAGCTGTAGATGCTCCTGTCTCTCAAAGCCCACTCTCTTCTGATTGGCCCAAGACCCTGAAGCATGTTACCAGGCTGTTGTTGTCGCTGGCGGTACAGGCAGACTGAGCGTTGCTGTGAGAGCAAATGACCGTATATGGAACAGCGGCTCCGTATTACGTAGAGCAGAGCCGTTGGTAGAAAAAGCTGTTGAAAACAGAGCGTTCAGAACAGGAGGAAATCTGAGGTTTTTGCTCATAGGGATTTCTTATAAATACTTTAACCTCATTATTTGAATCTTTGGCCATGTTTAACATGAACATCCAACATTGTGGATAAGTCATAAAATAAGGAAAAGCATAATAGGTCTCCTTTATAGTTAATTTTTTAATGAAACATTCAAATTTAGAAGTTCAATAAATATCTGATGTTTCCTACGTCAGTGAGTAACTGTGTTAAATTATCGTAATCTCAATATTGACCTAAATAATTGTGATTATGATATCTGCTGTAATGAAGCAGCCCTAATTCAATTGTTCAGTGAAAATGGTAAGATGTACAGCAAGGTTCTGTGCAAAGGATTAATGAATCAACAGAAAATTAATTGTTGATTAAGTAATTGATCAATTGTTATTAGTCATTGATCAAGAACATGTGCTGATTACATCTGCTCAAATGAGAAGACTTAGCAATTTAAAACCTTTTGATATAGTCACATTAAAATAGTGGCTTTATTCCTACAGAATCCTAATACTCAACTTCAGGCACTGTATGAAGTGCTGTATTGTAAATTAGGCCCTAACATGTTTGATCTTTTGTTTATTTATTTGGTTGTTTGTCTATTTTTGTTCCAGATCAGAATGCAGGCGCAGGGCAGTCTTCTCCAAGGCAGCATGATGTCCAACTTCATCAACATCTACCAGACAGAGGGCACCAGAGGGCTGTGGAGAGTGAGTGCAGGATCACTATAGCCCCTTTTCCACTGCATGGTACCAGCGTAAAAGGGTTTGCTCTTAGTGATGAACCTACACAAGGTTGTTCACCCAAATCTGCTTGTGTGTATTTGGTTTTACAGAGTTTTATAGTGAGTTTCGGCTCATTTTACTGTTTTGGTTTAATTTCACTGGTGTTATTTTTGGCAGCAGCAGGCGTCTATTAAAAAAAGCTCTTAATTACTCACTGTGCACTACCTCTCCAGCACCAACCATCAGGCAAGACACAGTTTTAGACGAGCTGGTGAACAAAGTGGAGCATTTAGCGGCTAAAGAGCCAAAAAAATTCCCTAAGATAAACAAGAGTAAATATTAGACTTTCATTCATGAGGTGGCCAGAAACATGACTCCAAATGGGAAAAAAAGTTGCTCTGTAACTGCTGAATGTGTAAATAAGCAATGTTGCTAACAAATTTGCCATATCAGCATAAAAGGTGATGATGTGTCGATGTTGTGTTCACAACTTGTTCCAGCTGTCCCCTAGTTAGGGTCTAAATAATCTGGCATTTTGAGCACATCTTGGGTAGAAGTACAGAAATTGGTATAGGACATGTTTAACCTAGTTTAGCACAAAGCCTGGAAAAACAGCCAGCCCTAAATTACAATTACACCTTTTAGCTCCATAATTATCTCTCCTTAAAATTTCAATCAATAGCCCGGGCTTTTATTTGCTTCAATCACTAAACTCACCCTGCCTTTATTTGGGACAGGCCTTTAATTCCTTTTGCACAAAACTCACTTAGCAAAGATGGGAAATAGGCTAATATCAAATTGTTTATTTCAACCAAGTATGAATATTACTTGTCTAGATATTAGGATAACATATCAAATACTAATCATTTGATGGAGCCTCAAGAGACAGGCCATCTAGGCCAACCTCAAGAACACACTGGTGCCAATTTTTTTTCTGTAAAATGAACTCAGAGTGTTACGATCACAGTAATTTTCTTCATCGCCCTCCTCCTCAGGGTGTCATCCCCACAGCGCAGCGAGCAGCCATTGTCGTCGGGGTGGAACTTCCTGTCTATGACATAACGAAGAAGCACCTCCTTCGCTCTGGCGTCATGGGAGACACAATTTTGACACATTTCATGTAAGTTAATCCTTTATGATCCATCCTTTATGGGCATTTGACTTTAGAAAGAAGCTCCTGAACTTCAGACTGGTCCGTTAACCTTGTTCCACGTCTGGATGTGCGTGTACAGCTCAAGTTTCACGTGTGGCTTGGCCGGAGCGCTGGCCTCCAACCCTGTAGACGTGGTCCGGACCCGCATGATGAACCAGCGGGTTTCATCGGGAAGCCCCATGTACAAAGGAACGTTGGACGGAGTGATGCAGACGTGGAAGAATGAGGGCTTCTTCGCTCTCTATAAAGGATTCTGGCCTAACTGGCTGCGACTGGGACCTTGGAACATCATTGTATCCTTCTTTAAAACCTACAGAGTTTCTTCACAGCTGGGGGGAAAAACAGAGAAATCAAATAATTTCTAGTTCTTGGAAAAATTGGGGGTTTCCATAAAAAGCCCAGAGTAGGATCTTAAATGTTTGATCTATCCAGATATACTCTACACCAGACTGTTTATACTTTTAATCTGTCTTAATTAGTCTGTGTAATGAGGTATGTTGTTTTGACAGGTATTTAATCGACATTCCTGGTTATTTTCATAAACAGTTTCATGATCAATGAAACTAAATCAAAATATTTTGAAATCGCAGTATAAAATATCAGAACATACAAGGAATTTGCTTTGGCGACTAGGTGCGTGACAAAAGACATAAACCTACATAAATAAATATAAAAATATGAAATTGACAAAATAAACAAGTTACAGAAGGATAATAAAGAAATCCATGTTGCCTATTCCTTAGTCAATGTTCAATTAATTTATTTAAAAGTTTTTATTTTTATTTTAAAGTACTTAAATGTATTGCCCTTGTAGTCGGTCATTGATGGCACAGATGGCCAAACTGAAAGTTAGCAGCCTGATTGTAGTGACAGAGAGAAGTGGAGTCTTCAAAGCATCGCGGTGGGAGTGAACAAGTCTGTTTAGCCCAGTTATTCTACCACACTTTCTCAAGTAGTCTGAAGCCTCCATCCGACATTTACCTAAATTTACAGAGAGCTTTTTTTTTTTATTGGTGCAAATGGACTGTATATAAACACAGACAGAGGTAGAGACATACAATACATAGAAATAGAGGGAGGAAAGGTTTACAAGCAACATATATACCCTGATGTTACATTTAATTGGAGGAAACTAACTAGACAACTAAACTTAAAAAAAAAAGAAAACAACAATTTCATGTGTGTATTTTTAACTGATAGAGAAAAGACAGAAGAGAGAGGCAAGATATTATTCTGAATTTATCCTGAGAACCATCACAGTACGGGTAATTTACTAGCCATAATATTTTTTTTTGTTGCTACTAACACTGACTGGCTTTTATATGAGAATATGATAAACTGCTTATTTGATAGTAAAATAAAGGTGAATGGTCTGTTACTTTGCAAAACTGTACGCACAGCCATGCCAAGTGCAGCAGGTCAAAGTTGACCAAGTTAATGGTCTGGCATTAGGCGAGGTCGCTCAGCCTGTATTCTGTTGTGATACGAATCGTGACGTTTTCCTTAACGCACTTCTCAGTTCTTCATCACCTTCGAGCAGCTGAAGAAGCTCCCGTTTTAACACGAGCACAAACTGGGACTTCGCTGGTCTGTCAGACTGTGTCGGGTGTAAATGGGGTGTGAGCTCGGCAGCGCCTGGAGTTTTGACACCAGTATATTCGCACTCCCTTCAGATTCATCCCAGTGATACAATACGGTATCAGTCATCTGCTCATGCAAATCTTAGATTGATTTCTTTTTTCCTTTTTATTTGCAAAGTGTTTTATTTATTGTCACTGGTTCTGTTTTCGTACTGTTTAAAGGACTGTTGCTTTGATGATTAGTCTCACCCTCAACCACCTTTGACACTCCCCCAGGCAGCTAAACGTTTGGTTGTAGGAGAAGACTGAAAGTTTGGGAGGCTAGATTCATTTCACTTGAGTTGATGAGAAAGACGAGAGTTTATCACCGTGGAATCTTGAGATGACAATTGACGATTGTTTGCTCAGGGTTCCTACACAGATATAGAAAAAAAATGGGATAAGAATTTATTAATAAGCTAGGAATTGCACAGTGCCAGCTCAGACATGCATGGCCACGCTAGGTTTTTGGAGTTTTGAGGAGAAAAGAATATGACATTTTAAAATCAATCAGTGTGTAGAAACCGTGTATGTTAAATGCGTTGGCGCTGCATGACGTGTGCTCGGAAAATAAGTCGGATTGAGCTGTTGACTGATAAGGAATTGCATGGAAGACAACAAAACCGACTGTTATAGGTAGCACAGAATTCACACTGACAGAAAGGAGGAAATATTTCTCAACAACAGTTTTAATCTTTTAAGTTGCCATTCAACACACAAACTTTTGTCTGAATTTAAAGCTGAGGAAAACTTTTTTTTTTTTCTATTATGAATTGTTGTTTTTAGGAAAAGCAATTACCAGAGACACATTCAAACCCAATCTCTGAACATCTGTGATCTTAATGAGCCACTGAAGTTTAACTTGAAACAATCAAAAATCTGAACCAAAGCCTCTAATGACAAAAGGAGGAGACACTTTCAACCAAAACAAAGTCTTTTATTTTAAAGTTAATCCAAATCAGTGGGTTTTGTTCTGCAGTATTAGGAGCTAATAGAGTGCTAGCAGTCCATAGTTTTATTGTTAAGCCACGAGACAACAATCCAGCACATAATGTAAATCGCTCTACAGAATATATCTCACATGGAGGTGGATCTATATTATCTTGCGCATGTCCAGGTGTTTTATTTTGATCTAAAGTCATGGCATGAATAGAAAAGTGGCGACTGGTGTGGATAAAAAGTGGAAAAGAGTCCCTCTGTGCCAAAAAGTCTTTCTACTAAACTGGGCTAAATTTATTTGCAGATAATTCTGAAAAATGTTTCGTTTGCAGCAAATGAGTAAAATTTTGTTCACAGGAGAAACTCAGAAAGTATCTGAAAGTCAGTGTAGTATGTTGTTTTGAATTTATAACACATTTGAATATTGTGGATCACATTCTGTAAACTCAATGTAAAACAGATCAAATGTTGTTTAATTATTTTATGGGGATCCCATACGTGTACAATATCTTAACAGTAATCCTAACGCATGCTACAAATGATTTGCAAATACTAATTGTCCCTTGTTTGACTTGCACAGTCCACGCCAGGTGACCTCAGTCTTTCATCCACCTGCATCACCAAAACTTTTCTTTATGTCATCAAATATTATTATATTTTCAACCTATTTTTTGTCATTTTTATTTGTTTCAAAAGCTGATTGTTATTATTTTCTCAACTTTTGCTGCTTTCATCTACATATACAGTAGGTTTTTCCTTAGCCTGCTTCTCCTTTTTCTGATTAAAAACGCATGTCCTTTTGCCCCGAAATGCATCAGCTATCCTCACAGCTGCAAAGATCTCACAAACGGTCTTTGACCCTGATTGCGGAGTCCAAAATCAAACCATCAATGTTTCCAAATGTAAACCCAATATCTCGAGCGTCACCAAAGTGGGTAAAATATGTATCTGTAAGGAGTTCATTAACTTCGCACACTTGATTTTAGAGTTTGTTGGGAACTTGTGCTGAAGAGTGGAGCAGGTTCGAGAGGCCACGCAGTTTTGAGTGTGTGTTGAAGTCCTATGGCTGGACTCCTGAGAACAGTACGTTGGAAAACGTTTATGTCAGGTGTTGATGTAAAGATATTTTAGTCCTGGAGTTGTCGGAGAGTTGCACTGTTACAGCCTCACGCTTTTACAAATAATGGTACTCGGTCATAATGTTGCTCCTCTGCCTACGCTGATGCCTCATTACCATATTGAGTGTGTGGGTTTTGCGTTTTTATTTTAGTTACTGTCTACAGATTATAGTTCTCAGTATTTAAGTTAAGGTTTAAAAACAAGTTTCAAAACATTTCAGTGCGTTTGAGAGGAGATGTGTTACCTCAGCAGTCGTGCTTTCCTGAGCCATTTAGCAAGTTATTCATAGTACTGTGTGTCACAATATAAACCACTGCGACCTGTGATTCATCCATAAATTCATCTGGATTCTGATCAGGTTTATTTGAAGTTTAACCACCTTGATGAGTAACCATTTAGTGTCAGTAGAGTTGTGAATGAGTTTAAGTCGGGTTATAGATATTCAGTGTGTGAGCGTAGAGTTAATCTGAGATTGACTTGTTCAGCCTATTAAAGGGTAACTTCTGTATTTTTTCAACCTGGACCTTATTTTCCCGTCGTTTTTGTGTCTATTGGTCGAGTAATAAGCGAGCACGTTGCAGTCGGCAGCAGCGAAACAGCTGCAATGTAATCCTTGCAGGCAACTGCGCCACGTCAAAGTACATCCTCTAAAGTGCTTGTTTTTGCCACGGAAAGGCTCAGATTGTATTAATAAGTGTCTGACAACATTGTGGAAAGAATTCCTACAGAGATAGACCTTCTAAGATCATTTATGTTTAACCAAAAACAGCTACTATATGACAGTAATTTTGTAGAATACAGGAGTTGCTGTCGCCGCATCAGTCGGTTAGTTTGATTGTGTTATTGCGTGAGGTCCCGATCAGACAGAAAGCGTTTTGCAGGTTTGAAAACGCAAGGTGCCTTTTTTTTTTTTTGGTTGAATTTTTTATGTTGCTAGGCAATCGAATCAAAGATTATAGCGCCAGCGATCTGTAATCTTTGGTTTGCTGCTAAGTAATAACTCATATTATTATATTAGCAGAAACTTGATCACAACTCACAAGGGGCGCTTGCTCTGGCATTGTTTGAGGGTGAGAGGTGTACAAACACGCAGGAGACGGGGAAACGGAGATCCGTGTGGGTACATTAGACCCTCAGAAAGAGGAGACACCACTGGTCGGACCACCAGCTGGTCCAGGAGCTTCGTCTCAATGATGGTCGGTTCAAGGCTTATTTTAGGATGACTCGGGGACAGTTTGCGCTACTTCTAAAACGCAAGGCGCAGAACGCTCACTGCCAATAGAATACAATTTAAAATACGCCCCTCTCATTGCAAAAAACTCATTCTGTCTGATGCTGTCTGTTTTTGTTTATTTAAAAAGTTAAAAACAACATAGTCACACAATAACACAAACTATCCGATCGAGGCAGCAGTTTACCAAAACGGGAAAAGTACTATTTTTGTCAAGGGTGTCCAGGTGGCTTTGATAAGAGCGATGCAGCGGCTGTTTCTGGTTAAACAAAAAGGATCTTACCCTTTTAAAAAAAAAAAAAAAAAAGATCTATCTCTGTAGGAATTCTTTCCATAATGTTGTCAGACACTTTTAAAAACAATCTGAGTCTGTCGGTGGCAAAAACAAGCGCTTTAGAGGATGGACTTTGACGGGGCTCAATTGCCCTGTTTCACTGCCGCCTACTTCAGCGTGCTCGCTTAATACTCAACCAATAACAGAAGTTACCCATTAAGCTAGATTGAGAAGAGGCAGCAGAGAAACACAAGAATCTAAATTGTTAATCAAGCTGGTTTTAAACGTTTTTTTGCTACCCAAAAACTCACTTGATGCGCGCCTTTGCACATTGTTGTGAATGTAAATGCTGCTGTGATACCTGGTCTGGTAAGTTGTTAAGACCAGTGTGTTGTGTTAGGAAGCTCAGCACAGCAAGTGGCAGCATATCTCAAGTTGTATTTTTAGTAATTTGGGCGGACTGACATCAGTTTATTGCATGTTCACGTTCTTTTTAGTGTTACACAAACTGTCCAGCCTTTAAAACGTCATGTATGTCTGTGATTGTGTAGTAAAAAGTTGTAGTTTTGGCAAAATTATTCTAGGACCATATTTGGGAATCTTACGTTTTAAGCCTTTTCAGAGTTTCATCTATTTTATAATTATTTTAAAGACTTTTTTTTTAATGTTAATCTGAATTGACTTTAAAACGATTCATGTATTTGTTATTTAACTCTGTTCTGTGGACCTGGGAACAGTTCAGAGGATGATGCGGCCCGTTCCCGCTTGAATCGACAACATTAACAACTCTTCAGTTTTTTGCCAGATAATTCATTCCCATCAACACCAGGAGATCCCTTTTAAAACTTTCCAACCCTGTTTCAGCTCTGACCATACAGCGCATCGTGTGCTCTGTTTCACCTGTAACCACACCCAACAGTGATGTCACAGGGTCCCTGAGTTAACCTGTACATCACAGCAGCAAGATCAGAAGTTAAATTACTGAAGATTTTACTGAAGAAAACTAAATGAATGTACTGTGTTTAAAGCAGAGCGGCTAGGATTTTTTTTTGACAACAGCGATTTAAAATTATTCTTAAAGGAACAGCTCAACAAATTGGGAAGTGGGAAATGTGCCTAAAAACGTGATTTTACGGGGAGTGATGTGCTGTAACAGTTTCTTGGTGAACAACAGTGACTTCCCTTGAAGTGCTAGTCGTCAAGAAGTAGTTAAAGCGCATAACTCCAAAACCACAAATTGACTGTACGAGAAAATGATTCAGCAAAATGTATCAGCTGTATTAAAAAGTATTTGGCCAACGGTGCAAATATGCGGGTCACTGAAGTTGAACTTGACCAGAAACATTTGCACAGATTTACGTCACCCCCTCCTAGCAAATCCACTAATTGTACCGATTCCATTGGAATTAATTCAAATTGCCACAAAATTTATTCTCATACCGGCATCGATTTTTATAAGAACACGATTCACTATTTCATTGATGAAGGAATCTCTTGTGTTGTCTGATTTTTTTTTTTTTGCAGAAACCTTGACGAGCATATTTTAACTTCACTTAGAACAAGTTGTCCATTTCACACACCAGCTGTGTGTAAAATGTGTCGGCAGCTAATAAAACAGACTAGCTTTGAGCTAGTTCATTCTTAACCTTGGGAGAAGTAGTTTGCCAATATAATCTGAACTAAAGGTCCACTTACTTGCTTTTTATAAACCAACCGCAGCTCAGCTCCGTTATATGAAACTTCGGTCACGTGACACCAGGAGGTCGTACAGCACATGTTTAAAGATGATCTTTGGCGTTGGATGTGAAAGCCCAGCTTGATCTTGGTCTATAACCTTTCTAGTCTCTGCTGTGACCGGTTGTGGCGTGATTTTGACAGACAGCTGATGTTGTCTGTCTCTTGAGTTCATTCGGTCTCTCGTCCAGGTTCCGGTCTTCAGGGTGTACCAGCAGAGATCTCAAGCTGTGGAATAGTTTGTGGTAAGTGCCGAGTTCTTGTAACTTGAGGACTGCGGCTAGACGTTCAGCCACGTAAGGGAGTCCTACTGTCTTGTCCTGTCAGGTCTGGATTATCCGTTTGTTGACAGTCTTTCTCAGCAGACCGGACAAGGTTGTGAAGTGGACTTTGAGTCAAGGATTGGCTTTGACACAAATCTGAATGATCGTCAGTGTCACAGTGATTGTTGAACTCTGACGAGCCTTGTGCTCATAATTGTGAAGCGATTTATCTTGTGAGAGAGAGCTTGTGTTTGATGGAAGGAAAGAAGTCAGAAAATAGTTTCCTCCACAAGAGAACCTCTACAAAATGTTTTTCTGGTGTGCCATGATCAGATTTTTTTTTTTTTTTTAAAGGTTTCACAACTTTTAAACATGTTAAATCTGTAAACTTCTCTCTCGCTTGTAGTAAATTGTGGTTTTATTTTGCTTTTCATTTGCTTGTTTTGACTCACTATAAAACATTTCATATTTTACACAAGCTAAACACCCACTTTCCCTTCAGACGTCTAATCCCTTTCCTAGCAATCTGTTCATCTACCTGTGACTGAATCAAGTCTGTTTGGTTTGCCTGTCTCATGTTGAACAAAACTAAAACACAGTTGCACTTATCAAATTAAGAAGATATTGGCCATTAATTTAGTATTGGATTTTGGCTTGTTGGCATCATTCCTCCTGATCACAGCCTGGAAACCTGCGAGGAAATTGTTTTTCTGGATATTTAGTTTATTGGTTTGTTCAGTGACACTTCTTTTAAAATGAATGAATTTTTTATTTATATTTGTTTCATTTAAAGGCCAAATAGTTGTGCATCTTCTAACAAACAGAGGAGATTTATTCATGTCCCACTTCTGTCAAGATGCTTTAGTTCAGAGGCATCAGTCAAAATGTTTTGTCATTCTGATTTTAATATACTTTGAGTGTGGAAACTGTTATTAATGGACAAATCTACACCTGTGTGGCCGTCTGACAGGAGAAGAAAATATAAAAATAAATATTTTTGTAAATTTTCTCTTCACTTCCACTTGTTATTTGCACTTTGCTGTATTGTTGCCGTCTATAACCTTTATGCTTGATCACTGGATGAATTTCTATAGTGGAAGATTTAAGATTTTTTTGTTATTTTTCTTTGACTGATTGGGGTTGGCTTTATACAAATTCAATGTTCACTCAAATAAAATATATGCTGTGATTGTTTCTGTATCAGTTCATTTATTTCTTGTTAGTTTGGTGGTAAAATCACTTTCCTGGATTTTAATATTTTAAATATGGCAGTTTGGAAGAAGTAATTTTGATTAGTTAGTTTCTCTCTATACAGAAACTAGAACCTTTACCAGCTGCTCTAGGACACGCTGTCATGTAGCGTCTGCATGTCACCACAGGAAGGTGCTGTTGACTAAAACAATGTACCTGCAACAAAAAAAAAAAAAAAAGAGACAATTTGTTTATCACATTTTCAAAAAATAGAGTGAGGAAATTGTAATCTAGTATATCTGATGTAGGTCTCAAGAGCCCAAAATGATTTTTTTTTGTCTGACCAACAGTCCAAGGTCCAAAAAGTATGAGTTTAGGATCATATTACACAAAAAGCTGCAAATCCTTACTTTAAGAAGCTGGAACAAGCACATTTTTGCTTAAAAACTTAGTTGATTATTTTATTTAACTGACTATTAGATGAATAATTTTAACTGTTAAATAATTCAAACTAAATAAAGAATTGGAAAACATCAAATGTGCCTCACAATGTGGCGGTGCCAGATTTTCATGCTTTTGTTACACAGACTGTTAGAGATATATAAAACATTTGTGTCAGAAGTTGTTTGTTGTCCTTTAGTTATGAATGTGAGATAAAGACTTTTTTATACAGAATAAGGAATACTGATTCTTTTTCAGCTTTACAAAATGGTCAAAACATCTTTCTATTTACTTGTTAAGTTGTTACAAGGATAAATATTTTTAGGTGAAGTTATTAAAGACATATATATATATTGTTTATGTCTGAATACCTCTTATGATATGGATGAGTGGAATAATGAAATATTAGGCCTACACTTTTTATCTATTAGATCTATCACAACGTTTACATATAGAAAACATTGTGTTGCCTTGGTGATCTTAACAGCATTTTCTGCAAAATGCAGCACTTCCCAAGTGACCGAGGACTTGATGATATTGTGGATTTCTCTACAACAGCGAGGACGAGACCAATCCAAATGATTGGTGCAGACATTTTCAGTCATCAAAGTGATTCATTGATTTAGTTTAAAAATGGATTTCACTGCACAGCGATGGGGTGAAATGTTCAAGGAACTTTAATATTAGTAGTTAGTAGTAGTAAGTGAGAATTTTATTAGTACACTTATTGGTAGAAATGACATGATTAGTTCAATCTACATTATAAAAGGACATAAGATTTATTGACGATTAAAAAAACAGTTGTTGACCTACTTAACATCAACTCTTTACTGTTATCTGTCTTTATCATAAGTTGCTGTTTGTCTCCACTTATTGACTGACTCACTTTTACACATATATTCTTACTCTGACTCGGGGAAAGGTTTTAACTAGCTGGGACAAAAACATTTCCATTTCTATCTGACCACTCAGATGCAGTTAAAACAATTCAAACAAACATTTATATGGATAATGTTTTACTGATTTTAAATTATAATGGAGTGCATAACAATTGCAAACATGTCAATGATGTGAGGTTGGGCTTTATTTGGGGGAAATCTGTATAAAGCTATGCTCAAGGTATTTTTTTAAATCTATTTTTCATGGTGCAGCTATAAAAACTGATGTTTACATTTTACAAAGATGGTGGTGGTCCAAAATCTTCCATAAGTGTTCAACTGGGTTGAGATTTAGTGACCGTAAAGGCTTTAACATTTTCATACTCACCAAACCATTCAGTGAGTGATTTGATGTGTTTTTTTAACTCTTTTATTCAGGATTTTCATTTAATTTCCCCTGTTTGTATATGTTGTCAGATAGTGTGGAATAAAGTGATATTAAGAACCTTAAAACCACTCAGTTGAGATACTGTTTTAACGGTTTAATGGTCTAAGACATTTCATATCATGTGGGTAATATAAAGTGTCCATCCATTTATCATTTGTTAAGAGTTGGACCGACCACTGAAGCAGGCCTTGAAGGGCCATCAGCTACACTTTTAGAGGTAGTGACACTGAATAGAACATAAAATAGATAGATCATTTCTTAAACTTTAAATTTTCCAAAATCAACTAAAAAAGATTTTTATTAAAAAGTGCCCAGTCATAAGAGTGTGTTTGCATAACATTTTACATCCACAGGCACATTTATTCAGAATTTACAATGGTTTCTTTGCATCCGAGGGGTCTTTTTTCCTGTAAATTAAGTGTTTTCTTATGTTATTGAATCTGAATCTTGGGGTGTCCTTTTGTGCGCACAGAGCAGCAACTACCTTATTATCAATTTATGGAGGTAAGGAGACAAAAGCAAACGCTCCGTGCAGCAGAAAAACTTGACAGCTGCTCATTGTGAGGACAAATAGGATGGACACATACAGTGCCTGAAACATAACATGTCGTCAATAACATGTCGAATAAAGCATAAATACATGTTTCACAAGAGGCAGAGTGAACCAGTTAATTTACAGAAAACATCTTTTTGTTTTAACACCAACTATTTCTTGGCAGAGAATTACATCAAACCGATTTCACTCGAGTCAGACTTGAATTAACTCTACATGGAGTGATATGTGTGAAACTTGATTTAACTTGACCCTTAAATATTTCCTCTGTTAGGAATTTAGATTTAGTGTCTAACTGTACTTTGTCATTCTGTATCATAAAAATGATTTTCTTCACATTTCAACAATGAATTGCTGCAGAGAGGGGGTGAGTTGTTATTGTATTTTTTGCTAATCCGACTATCAAGTAAGCAATTACACACACACACACACACACACACACACACAAATTCATCAAGTCAACCAGCTTCAGCTGTGTCAGCTTGTCACACACCTGAACTGTGGTTTTATTTAACCACATGGGAAACTAAGGAGGGAGGGACTCTTTTAGTGTCTGATACATGTTTCTATTAGTGAACAAGCTGCTGCTTCAAACACAGATTTAGGTGTATCTAGATAATTTGATATTTATTGGTGTAGTAGCATGTGAAATCAAAGTTCTCTCTGGTCTCCAGCAGCAAATATGTTTGCTTAAATAGTCTGGTTTCCAGTTTATATTGTTAAGTTTTATATGTTTTTTTGATTTTCAGTAGGTTCACCCTACACATGTTTTATGCTCTGTAGAAGTTTTTAAGCAGCACAGGTTGGAGTTTGCTGTGTGGTTTAGAAAGCTAGAAGTTAGTGTGTAGCCATGAAGGAGGAGATTGCTGCTGCTGTGTTTTTCATGGCTCGGCTGGTGAAGAGATATGGCTGTCTGGATAATGACAGCAGGGAGCGCTTCGCCGCTGCCCTCACCTCTGTTCTGTTTGAGAAGTACAAGAACCACTGGCACCCGAACGCCCCCAGCAAGGGACAGGCCTACAGGTCAGTAAACCCTTTTTTATATATATAGATATTTCTTCCAAAATATAAAACAGCAATACAACAAACAAAATCTGCGCACATGGTAATCAAAGTAAAATAAGCCAAACTAACATAAGAAGTGGGGACACAATGTATAAGTGAAATGCCATGTAAACAATAGAGAATTTGAAACCATGCTATGCAACTTTTGAAAGAAGAAATAACACATTATCCTTTCACAAACCCAAATGTTTAAGTCATGAAACCCCTGCTCAATTCAATAATCCTTTCTATTATTTCTTTTAATTGTGCTACTGTTTCACCCTTTCCCTGTAATTGTCAGTAACTACTGAGCACAAGTTTATATAAGTCTAAAACCACCCCGCTCTTCACCACTCCCTTATTTATTTTTTTTGCATCATTGTCTTTTTTTGTTTCCTACTAGGATTGTTTGAGGCACTACACTATAGAGCATAAGAATTTAGTTATGTGATGTTTCCAGCAGCAATGACTTAATGTTGCTTTCAAGAAATGTTGAATGATGGACGGTAAAATACATTGATGAGTTAGACACTTGAAATACACACTTGCACACAATGTTGGGTCAGTGAGGTGTGGGTCACTTGTTTGTTGTTTTTTTCCCTAGTACCATGGGGATAATTTAGCTTATGTTCCCAGGTTTTGAGACATCTTGATTTCTTCCATTACAATGAAAGTGAGTGAAATTTAATGTGTGGTGCTCACAGAAGTTGGATTCCATTTACAGCAAAAAAGTTGAATTTACAAACAATACAATTCTTCAATTTGACACTAGTGGTTTCATTCTTTATAGGGTGTTTAATGATCAGTAGTTTATGGTGGCTATCAACGTGTAGGTAAATCTAGCTGACTAACATAATACTCGGTCAGTGAACTTCATGACTCTTGTCTACTTGTGCTAGTGTTAGAGGGTAGTAGCATTTGGTATTATCCCATAATTGTCACCATTTTTCAGCAGAATTTACAGTAGCAACACTACACTCATGTGCCCAGTTACACTTGAATCCTAACCTCACTGAACTAATTTGTGCCAAAGAATATAGATTTAGCTGTAATTGTGGGTCTCTACGGTGCTTTCAGTCGGATTAATCCACAGAAAACATGATCGTCAGTTCAAGACAAAGGTAGTTCCAGTGAGAACAGGGTGTAATGCATGTTGCTGATAACTTTTGTCATGAGCAAAATCTAATTGCTGAAGCAGAGTTGTGTTGAGCTGAACATCACTGCTGTGTTTCAGGTGTCTGCGTATGAACCCTGTGCGGCTGCAGGACCCGGTGCTGCAGCAGGTCTGTGAGAGGAGCGCGGTGCGTTACGAGGATCTGGGCCTTCCCCAGGAAATGACGGTGTGGGTTGACCCTGGAGAGGTGTCCTGCAGGTCAGGCAGCTTAATTCAGTAAACTGCAGCTCTTCACTGGTGCTGCTGCTTTGTTTTGAATTTCACTTTGTACACAACTTCAGTTAATTTGAACTCCATGTTTTTATTAATAGTCTTTTCAGAAATTCATAGTGTCATACAGCAAACAGACCAACGCAAACATCACCAAAAGTGCAGCTCCCCTGATACCTGGTTAGTGTAATTTATACTTTGAGTCGAATTGACAGCGTAGGCTACGCAGAGGCTACGCCGTAGCCTGACATCCACCTCCTCCAAAATGTAACTACGCGTCAAGTCGACATGAACCGTAAGCACTGCGATTGGTCGGCTGGTTAGCCATGCAATGCCTTTGAGCTGACCAGAAGTACTCCATACTTTGTAGTAACTTACTAGCGGCCAAAACGGCGGCTGTAACACGGTGGATCAATATATTTGACCGTCACAACCCGAGCGAAATGACTTGTTTTACGATCAGAATGTGATCCCTTTGGTCGGTAACATTTGAGACCAGCCGCATGTACACAATTTTACCCCCATTCACGTTAGCGGAGCACTAAACCTGAAGCTGGCCTGCTCGGCCGGCAAAGGTCAACACGGTGGACACTGAAGCGCTACCGCGTTTGGGGATGTAATTGCAGAATAACGTCTACACCGACAGTATAAATGCCTGGCTGCGTGCGTAACTACGCATGTAGATGCTACGCAGGAGTATAAATCAAGCTTAACTTGTGACTGCGATATTATAACCCAAACTCATGGCCCAACAAGGTGAACAACAAATGCACGTGTACATTTTCGGCTCAGGATTGTGCTTTTCTTTGGCAAGCCTTCAACTCAATCATGATTTCAGTTAAATGCTAAAGTTACTGTTACCTTGTCTGTGGTCCGCTGGCAGAACACCGGGTGCTTTCTGATCAGGGGCCGTCGTGCTGTTGCGGAAGGCGACTTAAGTTTCGTTTACCGGTGGTAGCTTAACGAACCCCCTGAACTAATGCCTAGATTAATTTAAAATCCAAGGAGCAGTGTACCAACTCGCAGCTGCTGCCATGTTGGAAATGTATTGAGAGGCTGGCTCTTTTCAAATATGAAATGCATGAACTTGCTTTTTAGCAATATATAGTGTAATATAGTTTTTGTAGCTAATTGGTTTGTTCTTCCCTTGCAGGTACGGCGAACACAGCACTCCCTTCTGCGTCTCTGTGGTGGACGGCTCTCGGCGTGGAGATGGTGAATTTTCCCGTCGCATCCATGATGCTGTGGAGCGGGCAAGCCTTGATGTCCCGTCATGTAGCTCTTCAGATGAGGAGGAGGGGGGAGGTGACAACAGCATTAGCAGCAGCAGCAGCAGCTTTTCCGCTCTTTGCCCTGCACCAATCCCACCCATCAACCAGGAGCTCAAAACCATCCCAACGGTCAGCAACCCCAACAGTGTCTACCGGGTAGGTCAAACACACAAAGGCTAATGCCTGATTTTTAACTGTGACCATGAACTCTTCATAATCAAACCACACCATAGTTATCATGCACAGATGGGTTTTTGGCATTGGACATGGTCTGAAATTTCGCCAGCTTGTCCAACGTGAATGTTGTCTGGCAATAGGGTTACATAACTTTGACTTAATGCTCATTAACATAGTTGAGAGATGGAACCAGATTGCCTGTAAAGCAACTGCTTCATTTTCAGGCCCATAACAAATGCTGAAGAATAGGACACAGACCAATCTTTTGACTACAGAACATTGAATGAACCTTTTTAAGTTTTTGTCCTGATCCTTTGCTCCTCTCGCCCTCAGTTCAGTGAATTTTCTGCAGGGGCCCCTCAGACCTGGCTAAGGGACAAGCGGAAGGCCTTTGCTGGGGACGCATTCCCATCTCATCCTCCTCCTCCAGCTGCATGTCCGACCCCCCAGTTCTCCAGCCAGAAAGGCTTAAAGTCCTATCGAGCTACATTCACCTTTGCTGGGCCTCGTGTTGACAAGTACCATTGGGTCAGCAAATCCCGGTCCTAGAGTGAGCCGCGCCTTCAACATGGAACCGCAGTCGGGTTACTGCTTGGGACGGCAGCCGTGATGCTGGAACAAAGCACCATAAAACCCTGTTTGCAGGGGAAAAAAGGCTTCAGGACAGTTTATCTTTAATGGTTAAAAGTGTCAACAATTTATAATTATGCTGTTAAAGCATGTTTTTAAACTTTGAAATATTCAAGTATTTTAAATTATTCTCCCTTATAAATGTTTTAAAACTAAAATAAGTGTAAATAAAGTAACATTGAACTGTCATTGAAAAGAAATGTGTCCGTGTCAGCTCTGCTGTTATATAAAAGTGTTTTCTGTCTTCATGTTTTGGTTCATCTCATTTTAAAGATGTGGTATTATGTTCATTTTCAGGCTCAAAATCCTATACAGGGGTTGTACCAGAACAGGTTTACATGGTTTAATTTTCAAAACACCATATTTTTGTCATACTGCACATTGCTGCCACTTTTCACCCTGTGTTGAAGGCTTTGTTTTAGCTATGGAGTGATGCATCTTGCTGCTTTTATTTTTTTAACCTAATGAGTAAAAAAGAAAAATGCAAGCCTAATGGTATGAACAGATGTCTCATTCAGCTCACAGTGGCTCTGCCTCATGCCTGTGCATTAGAGATGCATTAAAGGATATTTTCCATCTGTGCTAGTATCATAAAACATTACAGCCCTAGTTGTAATAAATGCACAAATGAAGAAAAATTTTTGTTGCGCTTTTTCTTAGAGCATGTAAACTGCACCTTCAACAGCCCATTTCCAGGTTTGCACTGCCTTAGTAAAGATCTATCATCAGTTGTATTTGACTGTGACAGGGTTTGGGATGAGACATAAGGCACAGAGTATACGGGAGATGCTGGTTAGACCAAAATAAAGATCAAATAAAACTAAACTTTCTCCTCAGGATTCCCATTCATATAAAATACTACACTCCTCCATGGAATATACATAGCAATATGCATTGACCACGTATCAAATAGCTTCAAGGATAAGATGACATGATATAATATGATGATAAATACTTTGTGGATCTCCATTGCCCTCCACTCAGCCCTCACACACTTTCAGAAAATTGATCAAATTAAACTTTTTGATGAATGTCATCCCATTCTAAATCCACAGGCATTAATATTGAGTTGGTCGAACAGCTTCCACTCTTCTGGGAAGATTTTCTATGAGATTTTGTGGTTTATTGCAGCCACAAGGAGAAAAAAAATCAAATAATGGAAACAATGGTAGCATAGCACAGCCTTGCATTGGCTTCACAAACTGACAAAGATGGCAGCAACGCTATCCTAGCTGGATACAATTTTGGTGTTGTGCATATAGTTGCCTGCGGCCATAAAAGCATTTCCATAATATACTGACACAAGAGAATCTGTTGACAAGTCTGCATCATATATTTTGTAGCTTCGATGTTCTGCTGTGTTTGCAGAAAATATTTTTCATTGCAGCGAGACACTTTCCCACTTTTCTGGTATGATTATGATGAGCAGATGGTGCTCTGTTTGTTTGTGTTTTTTTTGTTTGTTTAATGTAATTTACTACAGCTGCATCTCATGTGCTCTAAATACAGCTCAGTCTGGGAGCTAATATGGCTGGGCTGTTGTGTGTGGTGGTGGTGGTTGTGCTGGTAGTGTAGTTAGTGATTGGTGTGTAGAAACAATCAGCTAACAACACTGCCTGCACAGCAACCCCAATCTCATTTACCATCGGGAGTCAGTAATACTGCAGTGAATGCTGAGAGATGTTGTTTGACATCATGACTGACACAGTTGGTACTGACACACATAAACAGATTCAACTTGTTTTTTTGTAGGAAGGTTTTAACTTGAAAATATGCTGAAAGCCTTCGTCTGGTCGGGAGAGCAAGACACAGCTGACCATCTTCATGATGGAATGAAAAGACTGTAAATGACTGTGAATGTAAAATATAAAAATTAAACTGTCCAATTAGAGGGTCACTGCTGGGAATCTATTAAAGAATGGAGTCTGGTGTTCGCAGGACAGTAAATAATACAATCAGAATACATCGGTAATACTTTAAAGTAATAGCTCAACATTTTGGGAAACATGTTTATTTGCTTTCTGGGAAGACTTCCATGAGAAGTGTGAGAAATACATTATAAGTTGCTGTTTTTAGGATTTCACTGTAATTAACTTGTGAGAAATTAGCATTGGTCACAGGGTTTTTATTCCTAAGCAAAAGGTTGTCTGATTCACAATAAACATCTGCTGGCATGTAGGTGAGAGTTTTAACATAGACCAATCAAGAGACAGAGAAACATCTGATACATACATTTGCATTTCCTTTCTTAGCTCAGGAAGAGTTTTTGAGTGTATGCTAATACTCTGCTGGCTGTTGTTTGCTTTGTACTTGTTCTGAACTTAAGGAGAGGAAATGCTGAGTTCGAGAGAGTAACCGTGCGTTCTCTCCGTGGCCACGTTACATAAAAAAATGATTCAACACATCTATTTGACTCCGTAGTCTTTGGGAAGGAATTATTTTCCCTGACAGAAGATTGATACCATTCACGTTTGTTTGGTAAATATGAGACTATGGCCAGTTGCCTTAGCACAAACCCTGGAAACAGCTCTATCCAAAACAAAACAAAATCCACCTACCAGCACCTCTAAAGTTTACTAATTAACATCCCTTTAAAACTTCATCAAAACAGTCACCTCATTGCAATACTATTTTTATACTTTATATATTAATTATTTTTTCACTATAACGACAAACACAAGTTCGATAGAAATCTACTTACATAAACAGTAATATGAATAAAAAAACAACGAATAAATATAGTACGTAACTCTTTTAAGTAACTTAACAAACTCTCAAGAGCTCCCTGACTGGGAGGATAATTTCCCTCATAGTTTAACTATTGAAGTCAGTGTTGATTCATTACAGAATGAAGGTATACAAAGTTCAAATTATCTCTCATTTTTGAAGCTCTGCCTTCACTTTCTCACAATGTCAAACTGGGAGTAGGGCATGGTTTGTTTTTGTTTTGTTTCTTTGTGGCACTGTTATTTTAACAAGTTAACATTGTCAACAAAAGCTGATTAAGAAATATATATAGGAACAAATAGGAATCATTAAAATTACTCCAGAGTTTACCAATGACCGAGGCAGCCATGTTCCAGTAAATGATTTTCAGGTATTTATTCTTGTTTTGAACTTCATTTCAGTCGGCTCTTTGTGAAGCTGAATCACACAGGAAGGAAGCAGAACTCTGATTGGCTGTGCAACGTGAACTCTTCTGCTGACCCGTCGATCGCACACACTGTGGCCACAGCTCTGTCCACGGCCGCATGATTTGATTAACAAAACAATTTGATTAACTAACAATGTTTGCACTCATGTAAAAAAAACAGCAGTGTCTCGGGTGAACTACTGGTGCTGTCCTGTATGAAATGTGTGTGTGTATATGTGCGGATGGATGAGTGCTGTGATCCTACCTGCGGTCGCTGCAGTTCTCACCGCTCAGTTTACAAGTGACCACTACTGGAGAAACACAACCGTCTCCACAGCTACTTTAGTGTTTGTGTGTGTGCCCGTGTCTCAGGTCATGCCTCGACTTGCCCCTGGCTGACAGGTATGGTTGATGTTGCCAGGGGGAAGCAGTCAGTCACAGTAGTAAACACGAGCCCTTGAGCCCGAGGACTGGCCAGTTTTTCTCCGTTTCATGTGACCACAGTACTCTCACAGGTTTTTACTACATTTATTAAATTTCAACCCCATCTCTGTTTCAAACTAATGAGGCTTTGCAAAACCCAGATCTTTTATCGCACTCAGGGTTAAAGTGGAACTGTAGTGATTGAGTATTGCACTTCCAAAAAGTTGGACAACCTGAGACACTTTCAGAAATTAATTTTCAAAATTGATTGCAGGGGCCGTGTGACTTTTAATAAGTTTTCAAACTTTAGAAAGATCCCTCCAGAGAACAGAACTTTTCACAGACTGAATAGTACATGTCCATTTTGAGAAAACTCTTATGTGTAAAATAGTGTTGTAGTACTCGAGACCGGTCTTGGTCTTAAGACCACTTTTTGATGGTCTTGGTCTCATCTCAGACTCGACTGCCTTTGTACTCTGTCTTGTCTCGGTCTCGGACATTGAGGACTTGGGATTTTTATAAGAGCCGTCAAGACCATAACTTTGGGAATATCAATAAATTGCTTTTACATTGTCTGATTTATTTGTTAACATCCTAACTTTGATTGGAAGAAAAACTTATTGCATCAAATGCAACCAATAACCCTAATTAAACATGTGTTGTTCCCGTTAACGACTGTCACCCCTCCCTGCGATGCTTACGTTGATTTCAGCTCTTAGTGTTTGTATGTGGGTGTTTTAATGGGGAAGTGGATCTTTCAGATCACTTTGAGAACTACCTTTGATCTCGTTCCACATTTTATTGCGTGCCATGCAATGCAGGGAACTGGTCTTGTCTCGGTCTCGATAAACTCTGGTCTTGGTCTTGACTTGGTCTCGGTTTGGTCGGTCTTGACTACAACACTAGTGTAAAATGCAGTGACCCGTTTAAGATGTTTATGTTTTGTTTTGTGTTTTGTCTCTCCGTACACCTTTGCCCTGAGATAAATTCTCTTTAATAAAGTTGAATTTCTTATTGTTGAAATGATACATTAAATTGAAACTTGACCCACACACTGGTTGACGAGAGAAAAAACATTTTAAATTGCGCTGCCCACAACTCCATGAGCTTGATGAGACCAAGTGATTTCATACGATTATGATTATGTGATTTGCAGTTGAGGAAGAAAGTCTTTAACTTAAGTAAAAGTAGCAGTAGTACAGTCTAAAAATACTTTATTACAAGTAAAAGTCCTGCACATCAAAATATAAAGTAGGGGAGACCGGGGTATGGTTGTAACATGGGGAGAGTTGTAACAACACCAATTCCACCAGTTAGAGATAAGACAGGAATTATGTGATCATATCAGTATTTGCCTACTTCCTCCCCGATCAGGCCGGGTGGTTATCAAGTCTGGAAACGGGTACATTCAGAATATATAGAGAAAAAACTGATTTTGAGGTAGTAAAGTAATTTTTTTGACCAAGACTATATTTTATTTAGTATCTATACTATTACAAATAAAATTGTTTGACTTATATTAGATTGAAATGTAGTTTCTTTGGCAACATGTGATACATTTTTTCCTTTTAATTTCAAACCACTATGCTAATACAGCTAGCTAAACATTGGCTGACAGGGGTAGGATGTGTTGTAACACTTCTTTAAAAAGCATTACAACCATCCATGATACATAAAACTAGGGACTTTCTT